TTAGTAGAGATGGGGTTTCACCATGTTGACCAGGATGGTCTCGATCTCTTGACCTCGTGATCCACCCGCCTCGGCCTCCCAAAGTGCTGGGATTACAGGCTTGAGCCACCGCGCCCAGCCTCATTTAGTGTTCTAATGTGATCATTTATCCACTTATGAAAGCAGTTTTGATGGTAAAGTGGTCTTAAAGTGTTTATGTTTAGTATATTAAAGTTCTGCTATTGTAAGCTGGTGAGGTTTGATTACATCATAAATGATAACTATAAGACATTAATACATTTTTTGCAATTTTATATTTTAGGTTACGTTGTAAGTGTGGGGTTTTTTGTTTTTTTGGTTTTTTTTTTTGAGAGACGGAGTCTTGCTCTGTTGCCCAGGCTGGATTGTACTGGCATGATCTCCGCTCACTGAAACCTCTGCCTCTTGGGTTCAAGTGATTCTCTTGCCTCAGTTTCCCAAGTAGCTGGAACTTACAGGCATGTACCACCATGCCTGGCTAATTTTTTTGTATTTAGTAGAGGCCAGGTTTCACCCATGTTGGTCAGGTTGGCCTTGAATTCCTGACCTCAAGTGATCTGCCTGCCTCAGACTCCCAAAGTGCTGTAATTTACAGGTGTGAGCCACCACGCCCGGCTTAATTTATTCTCTGTTATGGATGCTTCACTTTCATATTGAAGGCTCACATCTTTCCCAGTTGTTTCATTTTTAATAAAGGTAGTTAATACGTATTGTGTAAATGTAATTTTTACTGCTTGAATTATGTAAATTATTTTAGAACATTAATTTTGATATGTTTTACGGTTGACAGTAAAAACGAATGTTGCTTTTCAATTAAAAATATTCTTCCTGTTTATATAGAGAGTTCTGGAGTCAGAAGAACAAGTACTTGTTATGTATCATAGGTACTGGGAAGAATACAGCAAGGGTGCAGACTATATGGACTGCTTATATAGGTGAGTGTGCCTTTAAAATCTAGGCAAACCAAGCAGTGTTGCCTGCATTCTCAATGATTGACAGGATAATTTTTTTATTACCTATTTTCCTATTCACATGTGCAGAACTAAAGCATTCTCTCCATCATGGACTTTTCTCTGCTTTCAGGAAAGGTCTGTAATCTAGGTAAGGTGGGTATTTAGGAGCCAGGCAGTGTGTGGAACATTCTGTGAAAAGTAAACTGTACTCAGTGGCATGGCCCTGTTTCTTCTGATTGTTTGCAGCCTGCGGCACGTAATCTCAACAGAGATCAGTGTGGAAACTCAACTTGCATGAAACTTAGTGGGAAATCTCAGCTCCTGTCCCCTCGATATGTTCTTATTATTTGACTCTAGCATTCAGTATTTTCTGTTTGATGCAAACAATGTTAGATAGATGACTTGTTATTTTCCCTTTGAAGTTCTGTATCCCCCATGCTCTAGGCATATTGAATTACTTGTTTGATAATGCCCATGGCCTTGCCCATCTTCCTGCCTTTCCTTGCTATTCCATCTGCCTGGATTGCTTTTCTCTTTTTCTCTTTTTTCTTTTCTTTTTTTGAGACAGGGTCTGGCTTTCTCACCTAGGCTGCAGTGTAGTAGCATGATCTTGGCTCACTGCAGCCTCAACCTCCTGGGCCCTAGCAAGCCTCCCCCTTCTCCCCAGTTGCTGGAACAACAGGTGCGCACTGCCATACCCAGCTAATTTTGTTAATTTTTTTGTAGAGATGCAGTCTCACTATGTTGCCCAGGATGATGTTGAACTCCTGGGCTTAAGCAATCCTCCTGCCTTAGCCTCCCAAAGTACTGGGATTATAGGCATGAGCCACTGTGCCCGACTAAATTAGTACTATTAAATTGGTGCTACTTATGAACTTTTAGTAAATGTTGTAATATATATAACGTGTTTATGTATGTGTGTGTAAAATGATATGGGGTAGTCCATATCTCCATTTTTTACAGAGGGAGAAAGGAATGCTGAAAGCATGATTTTATTGAAGTTCACTCAGCTAATGAATCACAAAGGCAGGATTTAAACCCAGATCAGTCTGAATCCAAAGCCTTTCCACTTAGCTACTTCATCCTACCATAGTCTTGTTCTAGAAACATGCCATTTCACTGAAGTAGATTCTATTCTAATCTTTTTCTTGTATAGGCATACTTTGGAGATGATGTGGGTTCAGTTCCAGACCACCACACAATAAAGGGAATATTGCAATAAAACAAGTCCCACAAGTTGGTTTCCCAGTGCATTGTTATGTTTATGCTGTACTGTAGTCTGTTAAGTATGCAGTAGCATTGTCTAAAAAAAATGTGCACACCTTAATTTAAAATTACTTTATTACTTAAAAAAAATGCTGTTGATCATTTGAGCCTCCAGTGAATTGTAATCTTTTTTGCTAATCTTCTTGCCTCAGTGTTGATGGCTGCTGACTGATTATGATGGTGGTTGCTGAAGGTTGGGGAGGCTGTGGCAATGTCTTAAAATAAGACAGCAATGAAGTTAGCGGCATCAGTTGACTCTTTCTTCACAAAACATGTATCTGTAGGGTGCAATGCTGTTGGATAGCATTTTACCTGCAGTAGAAGTTCTTACAAAATTGGAGTCAGTCCTCTCCCCCACCACCACCTTATCAACTAGGCTTATGTAATATTTGAATCCTTTGTTGTCATTTCAACAATGTTCACACCATCTTATTAGGAGTAGATTCTATCTCAAGAGACCACTTTATTTCTCATCCGTAAGAAGCACCTTCTTATACATTCAAGTTATATCATGAGATTGCAGCAATTCAGTCCCATCTTCAGGATCCACTTCTGAGTTCTCTTGCTGTTTCCACCACATCTGCAGTTACTTCCTCCTCTGAAGTCTTGACCCTCTCTAAGTCCTCCATGAGGGTTGGAAGTGTTAACCGAAATGAGTGACCGAGGCAGGTATTTCAATCGAGGTTTATTGAGCCAGTTTAAGCATACACCCAGGAAAAATGCAAGGCACAGATTCATCTGTGGCTGTTTTGTGCAAAGAGGTTCTCAAGAAATTTAGTATTTATACATTTTCCTTAAAACATGAGGGGCGGCAGCCGTGAGGCAAATGGTTACCTACTTGTCAGACTAATTAGTGCCCAGTAAATCTACATTTAATATAAGGTAAACCTTTGAAGCACAAGTAAATAGAGGAAGAAAACAGTTGTGCACATATCTCAGGGAGAGGCGAAGGAATGATTACTCTCATCGTGCCTTTGCTCTGTATCTGGCAATATCACCTAAGAATTGCTACTTACCAGGTGGATGCTAACAGACTTCAGTTTTTAGAAACTAGACTTTAGAGGGCAGATCTAGAGTTACAATTGACACGTCCTTGTGTTACGGGAGGACGTACATTTTAAAGGTTTGGAGGCTAGCAAATAATTTGTGCATGAGTGACTCTTTGAGGCAGGGGTAGTTATCAGGAAATGGCTGAAATTTTTTGCCTTACTATGGGGATCTGGCTAATACATAATGTTTCGACACAAAGTTGTAACAATTATTCATCCAGGAAGAGGATGGCCATTTAGCATGACTCAGCCTCTGAGCTTAAATTTTTCTTTGGCATTGGAGGTTTGGGGATCCTGAGATTTTATTTCCCTTTACAGAATCAATATCTTCTAATCATCTGTTCATAATGATATTTAGACCTTCTCCCATGAATCATGAATGTTCCTTTTTTAATTTTTGAGATGGAGTGCAGTGACAGGATCTCGGCTCACAGCAGCCTCTGCCTCCCGGGTTCAAGTGATTTCTCCTGCCTTAGCCTCCCGAGTAGCTGGGATTACAGGCACACTCCACCACACCAGGCTAATTTTTGTATTTTTTTAGTAGAGACAGGTTTCATCACGTTGGCTAGGCTGTTCTTGAACTCCTGACCTTGAGTAATCTGCCCACCTCAGCCTCCCAAAGTGCTGGAATTACAGGCATGAGCCACCGTGCCTGGCTGTGTGAATGTTCTTGATAGCATCCAGAATGGTGAATCCTTTCCAGAAGGTTTTAAGTTGACTCTGCTCAGATCCATTAGAGGAATGTCTATCTATGACAGCTATTGTCATAGAAATAGTAGAATAGAATAGCAATAATATTAAGAATAACACAGTAATTCTTAATAATAAGACTTGAAAGTCAAAATGACTCCTTGATCCATAGGATGCAGTATAGAAGTTGTTAGCAGGCATGAAAATAGCATTAGTCTTTTTATTTATCTCCATCATAGCTCTTGGGTGACCAGGTTCATTGTGTGGTGAACAGTAGTATTTTGAATATTTTTCCTGAGCAGTAGGTCTCAACAATGGGCTTAAAATATTCAGTAAACCATGCTTTAGACAGATGTGCTATCATCCAGAATTTGTTGTTCCATTTCTAGAGCACAGGCAGAGTAGACTTAGCATGATTTTTAAGGGCCCTAGGATTTTTGGAATGGTAAATGAGCATTGGCTTGAACTTAAAACTACAGCTGAATAGCCCCTAACTAGAGAGTACACTTGTCCTTTGAAGCGTTGAAGGTAGGCATTGACTTCTCTCTAGCTGTGAAAGTCTTTGATGGCATCTTCTTCCAATAAAGCTGTTTTGTCTACGTTGAAAATATGTTTAGTGTAGCCACCTTCATCAGTGGTGTTAGCTAGATCTTCTGGATAACTTGTTGCAGCTTTTCCATTAGCTCTTGGTTGACAGAATAAATGGCAAGACATGTACTGTTGCATTATGCCTGAGTAGAACAATTAGATATTGCCCCTTGGTAGAGTATAAACTATTTTAAGAAATTATTTGAGGCTATTCTGTTTCATGATTAGAGTCTAGAAGATATATATCTTTTTTATTTTTTTAACTTTTGATCCCAGATCTTTTTTTTTTTTTTTTTTNTTTGCCCTTGCTCTATCACCCAGCAGTGGCTTGATCTCAGTTCACTGCAGCCTCCACTTCCTGGGTTCAGGTGATTCTCCTGCCTCAGCCTCCTGAGTAGCTGGGATTACAGCCAGCCACCACCACACCCGGCTGATTTTTGTATTTATTTGGTAGAGATGGAGTTTCATCATTTTGGCCGGCTAGTCTCGAATTCCTGACCTCAGGTTATCCACCTGCCTTGGCCCCCCAAAGTGCTGGGATTACAGATGTGAACCACCGCGCCTGACCATTACTTTATTTTAAAACCTTATATTTCAAGCTTACATTTTATTAAGAGTAGAAATCTGCAATAAGAAAGACATAGTTAATGTAAGTTAGTTTCAGTTTTATTCTGTGAGGAAAAGAGAATACTGGTTTGCCCTAGCAGATACAAAGCATTTAAAGCTGCACTAAATCACTACATTGGCTCAAGAATATACATCCAGATCTTTGAAATGGATTTAGTGAATTCAGGCCCGATCTGCAGATCTAGCATCTGCTTCTATTTTGCTAAATAGTTTACACTTAATACATAGGTAAAGGAAGCTCCTGTAGAATTTTGAATAGGGAATAGGGAAGCGACACCCTGACAGCAGAATTTTTAGGTAAATTAGAGATGCCAGAAACTGAAGTAGAGCCCAGTCATAAGAGTGTTCCACATGACCTGGGTAAAGGGTCAGCAAGTACATCGGAAGTCAAAGGAAGTAGTGGGAGGAGGTGATGAATACTTCAGGAGAGGAAGACTGACTCGTTAAAGAAGGCAAAATGGAAGGATGAGATAAGTGATTCTGATGTTTTAGGTGAGGTTACTGGAATGGTCTTGGTGCCAGTGACCAGTGTGTCCCCAGTGCCTTGCATTGCACCTGGCACATAGTACACCTTCAGCTGATACATGTTGAATGGGAGTGGAAGACCTCTCCTGGAGTTTCTGTGCCAGCCCTGCCACTTAGAAGCCAATTGACTTTTGGCAAGCCCTTTAACCTCTCTAGGCTGCAGCTTTCTTATGTGTAAAATGAGTATCATATGAGTACCACATATATCTGTCTAAGAATATTCAGCCACGGCCGGGCGTGGTGGCCCATGCCTGTAATCCAAGCACTTTGGAGGCCAAGGCGGGTGGATCACCTGAGGTCAAGAGTTCAAGATCAGCCTGACCAACATGGTGAAACTCTGTCTTTAAAAAAAAAAAAAAGAGAGAGAGAGAGAGAGAGCTAGTGAGAGAAAGTGGTGGTAGGTGCCAAACTCTTTTTTTATTTTTATTTATTTATTTATTANAAAAAAAAAAAAAAAATTAAAAAAAAAAAATAATATTCAGCCACATAAAATGCTTAGGGCTGTGTCTGATAGGTGGTGTCAATAAATCTTTGTGGTTACTTTTATTGCCTGGTATTCATGGCTTTTATGATCTGGCTGCAGGCTGCTTTTCCAAGTTTGTATTCTACTGTTAGCTTTTGCTATCCTTGCTGTCTGGAATGTTATCCGTTTATATTCAGTAATTCATTCATTAAGTATTTTTTGAGGACTTGACTTTTGCCTGCCACTACTGTGGATGCTGTACAAGATGGGGTCCTTGCTTTGTAGACCTTACATTCTGAGAGGAAATGAATGTGCAAAAAAAAGAAACCAGTAAAAGCAGACTTATTTTATATAGTGGCAAGTACTGTGAAGAAGGTAAAAAAGTTAAGCATTAAATTGTTACTTGCTTAGGGCAAGGAAGTGAAGGCTAACTCCTCTGGGGGTTCAGGGCAAGGCTGAAAGGTGTGTCTGCCCTGTGAGACTCGATGAAAGGGGACCACCCTTAGAATATCTGGGATGGGGCACTTAGGTGAAGAGGCCACCCTCTGTCTGCCTTTTACTTTTGTCTCTCAATCTTATTCCTCTTTCCTCAGCTGGAAGGCATGGTTGGAAACTCAGCATGAAATTTTCACAATTACAGCGAGGATAGAGAGGAAGGAATAAATGGAATTTTGAAGGGGAAAATAAACAGTATGATGTTGTAACTTCTGGTCAGAGGATGCTAAAATGTCAATTGGTATATCAGGATTGTAAGCCGTGGAGTCTAGAGCCTTGACACTAGTGAATATGGAGGTGGAGCTTGTGTAAGTCGTTGTGGATATAACACTTTGGAGTCAATTTTCTAGGAATTATTATTTCTTTTAGAGACAGAGTCTCACTCTGTTGCCCAGGCTGGTCTCCACCTGCTGGCCTCAAGTGATCCTCCTGCTTCTACCTCCCAAAGCACTGGGATTATAGGCTTGAGCCACCACACCTGGCCAGGGATTAGGTGTTTAATTGTTTACCAAAATTGTTTTGGTTGTCTTTGCTTTTAATTTGTCTGTAAATGCTGAGTGGACCTTCATTTTGCTATAGTGAACCTTGAAAAGGGTATGTATTCATATGTAGATTTCATGGGTTGTTACCTAAAATACTTGTATTGTCAGTAGCTGTCTACACTAGTAGAACCTTTCAAATGAATAGTTTCAGGTGTTGATCATTAAAAGCATTATTACAAAATCTAGGATCCTAAAAAGTACACAGTTGAACATTACTACGAGTCCTTTCTCCATGATCGGTTTTATTTTAGAGTTCTGTATTCATCTCAGTTATTCTTAGAGTTCATCACACATTCCTTAGTCTTGGAATATATTAAACATTTTCATTATAATCCATTTTCCTCTGGTAGACAAAGTGTTCTTATATCTGTCAGTCTTGCCCATACTTACTATCTGTAACAGTCTGTTCCATTTTCTTACCTACTGATTGTGATCTTTTTTAAAAATGAAAAATTGCATTTCTTCCTGGTGATTAGAATGTAAATTAGAAACCTAACTTGACTTTGATCTTTTAACCATTCTCTGTTTAATTTTTGGAAAGTGAACTTTATCTTGACTTTCCCAAGAAGGGCCTGGGAAGTAGCAAGCGAGATTGTAGAAATTCTGAAACTTGGATAAGAGCTATTGGGCTAGAAGGGTATTTATAAGACCTTGCAGAGAAAGGTGGGCTGATAATTTTAATTTTTATTATATTTCTAATCTCTGCATCATTTCATTTGGATTTATTCTAGGCTATTCCATGACTGATATGTAACCTTAAAAATATTCTTCTGAAGTTGCAAGTTATTTGCTTTCCTACTGACTTTAACTTAATATCCAATGATATTACATTTATTTTCCAGGTATCTCAACACCCAGTTTATTAAAAAGAATAAATTAACAGAAGCGGACCTTCAGTATGGCTATGGTGGTGTAGATATGAATGAACCACTTATGGAAATAGGAGAGGTAGGATGTTCTTTAAATGACCGGCAAACATAAATGTGTTTTTGTACATTGAGGTAATTTGATTCACCAGCATTTTTAAGGACACTGATTAGGCTAGCTTAAAATAGTCAAGATTTAAAATATCCTAAATAAAATGCTACAGTAATGTCCTAAGAATCCTCAGATAGATAAGAGGAATGAAAAAGATATGACAGGCCAGGCGCGGTGGCTCACGTCTGTAATCCAAGCACATTGGAGGCCAAGGCGGGCGGATCACCTGAGGTCGGGAGTTCAAGACCAGCCTGACCAACATGGTGAAACCCAGTCTTTAAAATAAATAAATAAATAAAAGAAAAAGATATGACAGTTACTGTTTTAATAATTAAATTTATGTTGGGTGAATGATAGGGTTAATGGTTCTGCATTGTGAAAAAACTCAAAAATTATAAAGTGTTGACAGCCCTGTAGTTGAAAAGTACAGACGACAAGAACTTAAGACAGGCTAGAAGGGCAGAAACAAATTTATGGATATAACAAATTTATTGTAACTTTAAAAGTATTAAATTCAGGGTAAACAATGAAATGGGCATTTCTGTCAATTCGATAAAGTTCTTGTACGGTGCAAATTAAAATACAGGTAATTATTCTGTTTGGGAAAGAAATATTATTGTACAAGTTTATTCATTTATCTTTATTGAATAGCCAGGTATTGGGGACAGAATGGTGAACAGTCAGAAAGTGTCTGCACACAAAAGCTTGTAAACTCATGTAAGGGAAGCAAATGCCAAATAGGAAATTAATGTTAAATTGTGATTTGTATTAATGAAGGAAATAAATAACTAAGAAGCAGCATTAGTAGACATTTAAGTTACTGTAATCCTTTCTGAAAGAAATTGATGAGTCTTTCTTTTAATACAACTTAAAATATTTAATACCATTTGACCAAGTAATCCCAAGTCCTAAGTCTAGTGATCCATACTTGGAAAATAATAAATATGAGAAAAGAGTTTAATGTTTAAAAGTATTCTTTGCAGTCATTGTTAAGAGGGTGCCTAGCATCCAACATTGAACAGTAAAAAGCATGGGAGAAGTATTTATCCTATATGATATGATTTTGTTATAAAGGTAGACAAATGGATAAATTAAAGCAGAAAATTGTTCATACAAACTTTAGCAAAGGGGAAATGGTTCATGATAAAATTTAGACAGAAAATTATAGGTATACGTTGAATACAAATAAAATTATACGGAAAAGATGATGTAGAAAAAAAGATCAATGAGAAATACCAAAATGTTTATGGTAGTTGCTTCAGTTAGTAGGGTTATAAGTGAGTGATTTACGTAGAATTTTCCCTTATCACCAGCACTGTCAAGCACACCTCTCTTCCCGGAGGAAATCACTGAAAACAATTTGGTTTGTATCTTTTCTGAACTTTACCTGTGTATTTACAAATATGCGTACACACACACACACACACACACACACACACACACACACACACAGAGCAGTTTTGATTTTATTTTTCAAACTGCGATGTAATGGCACATATAAAGTTCTATATTTCTTGCCTTTTTGTTATTAATGTCTGTCTTTTTATGTAAGTTTGTTTTTTGTGAAAGCTTAATATTCTCTGTAGATACAGCATAATTTTTTAAACTATTGTCTTAATTTTTAATTTTTTGATATTACAAAACTGCAGTGAACACCACTATTCATTTATTCATTCATTAAAGTTTTTTTTTTTTTTTTTACAGAGTCTTTTTCTGTCACCCAGGCTGGAGTGCAGTGGCATGATCTTGGCTCACTGTAACCTCTGCCTCCCGGGTTCAGGCAGCTCTCTGCTTCAGCCTCCTGAGTAGCTGGGATTACAGGCGCCTGCCACCATGCCCGGCTAATTTTTGTATTTCGAGTAGAGACAGAGTTTCACCATATTGGCCAGGCTGGTCTTGAACTCCTGACCTCGTGATCCGCCCACCTCAGCCTCCCAAAGTACTGGGATTACAGGCATGAGCCACTGCACCTGGCCCATTCATTAAGTATTTTTGAACCCCTTTGTATTGAGTATGTTGAATATAACAGTGAACAAAGTAGAGAAAAATCTGTTTTTTTTTTCACCCTCTCAACCCAGCTTTTCCCGACTGCGGGAAGAACTGGGAAGAGAAGGTGAGAAAAATCTTAACACTCACAGAGTTCTATTTATATGTGTATCTCTTGGTACAGGAGCAGAATGTTTCATAGAGTGGGTGTTGGGGAGTAGAACCTCTGTCGAAGCACGTCCTGAAGTTTGACAGCTCTATCCCATTGCCTTTCAGAAGGGCTTTACCAGTTTGCCCTTCCACCACATGTGTAAAATACCAGGTTTTCATGTGTTGCCTCCCCAACCCCCATTCATGCTATTTAAGAAGAAAGAACGGCAAGACTTTGAACAGTGTTCCTTGTGGGAAGACAGATGCTTAGTCACCAATGGATCCGAATAAAATTACCCTAGGAAAACAATAGATGGATAGCCGCAGCCCATCTGAATGCAGTTAAGGTAGAAACAGAGAACAAACAGAAAAAATCTGTTTTCAGTACTGGAATAATTTATACTCTATGCGGGGAAAATATATTTGAAGTTTAAAGGCCTGAACGTGAACCGCAAAGCTTGAAAACTTGGAAGGCAGAGTAGGAGCACACACATGCCTGTTAGAAGGATCTCTTAAAAAACAAAACATACCCGTGATAAAGGAAAAGATTGGTAAATTTGAGTATATTAAACTCTAGCACGTTTTTACCAAAACACTGTAAAAGAAACTGAGCAGCTGATTTACTGGGACAGACTGTGAAACTTTCAAGGAATTAATTTCCACAGTATATATTTTTAATACTCTAGCTCTTTCATGCCTATCATCCTAGCACTTTGGTATTCCCAGGCGGATGGATCATCTGAGATCAGGAGTTCAAGACCAGCTTGGCTAACGTGGTGAAACCCCCTTTCTACTAAAAATATAAAAAAATTACCTGGGCCTAGTGGTGCGTGCCTGTAATCCCCCCTACTCTGTAGGCTGAGGCAGGAGAATCACTTCCAACCTGGGAGAGGGAGGTTGCCGTGAGCCAGGATTGCACCATTGCATACCGGCTTGGGCAATGAGCAAAACTCCGTCTCAAAAAAAGAAAATCCAGCTTTTATTAAGAACAGGGACAAGCTTTAACAGACTGATGGGCAAAATTAGGAATAGGCGTTTCTCAGGAAGAAACCAAAATGGACAATAAACGTTAAAGAATCCCCAGCTTCATTTAGTAAAATGAGAGTTAAAATCACAAGGAGACACCATTTTATGCCCAGCAGATTGGCAAAGTTTGACCAAAGTCTGGCAGTACCACTTGTTGTCAAGGATGGGGCCTAATGGGAAATCTTGTCCTTGGCCATGCAAGTATAAATTAGAAAATTATTTGACTTGATTTAGTAAAGCTGGATGAGCACTTGATTGTTCAGTCCAGAATCTCAACTTGTAGGTGTATATCAGAGAATCTCTTACTTGTGTGGGCCAGATGATACATACAGGAATCACAGCATTGTTTCCAGTAGCAGGAAATAGGAATCACAAACACATCAGCAGTCATCAGCAGCAGAGTGGAAAAATAAGTCACGGTGTATTTATACAATAGGATGCTGTATGGCAGTGCCAGCGATTGAACTATGGCTGTATATTTCCATTTGGAGGGGTTTCACAAAATTCTAGATTGTAATAACCTGAGGGGAAAGAAGGAGGATAGCCGGGACAATGGTAATGGTGAAGTTGTATTTCTTTTTTCTTTTTCTTTCTTTTTTTTGAGACAGAGTCTCCCTCTGTTGCCCAGACTGGAGTGCAGTGACATGATCTCAGCTCACTGCAACCTCTGCTCCCTGGGTTCAAGCGATTCTCCTGTCTCTGCCTCCTGAGTAGCTGGGATTATAGGCGTGTGCCACCACACCTGGCTAATTTTTGTATTTTTGTTAGAGACAAGGTTTCACCATGTTGGCCAGGCTGGTCTGGAACTCCTGACCTTGTGATCCACCCCCCTCAGCCTCCCAAAGTGCTGGGATTACAGCCGTGAGCCACTGTGCCCAGTGAAGTTGTATTTCTTAAACTGAGTGGTGAATACAGGGGTGTTTTATTACTCTTTTAAACAACTTGCTGTTTTATGTTAGTGTGAAATTTTTCATAATTAAAACAGTATACAGCCAGATCACATGATTAACATAAATCCTTTGTTTCTGTTATGGTTGGGTATCTGTAGCCCATTTGTAGTGTTGAGCATTTAACAATCAAATTAAGGATTTTGTTGTTGTTTTTGAGACGGAGTCTCGCTCTGTTGCCTGGCTGGAGTGCAGTGGCTCGATCTCGGGTCACTGCAGCCTCCACCTCCCGGGTTCAAGCAATTTTCCTGCCTCAGCCTCATGAGTAGCTGGGACTACAGGCGCATGCCACCACACCCAGCTAATTTTTTGAATTTTTGGTAGAGACGTGGTTTCACCATGTTGGCCAGGCTGGTCTGGAACTCCTGACCTTGTGATCCGCGTGCCTCAGTCCCCTAAAGTTTTGGGATTACAGGCATGAGCCACCACCCCTGGCCTAAATTAATGTTTTATAATAATCAATTATTTGTATAAGATTTTCAACTAATAATGAAACCTTACTAATGTTGACAAGGCTAGTAGAATGGTCATTGATATTTCAAATAAGAAATGTATTTTCTTTGAATTTTAAAATTTTTGTTTAGGTTTTATTTGAATTTTGAACTATTAGTATAAATACTTCTTTTGATGAGTATTTTTACTTGAAAAAAAATCCTTGAACAACTGTTAAAAATATACACTAAGTAATTCAGCCTTAATGATTTTTGTTTTTCCTGGCAGCTAGCATTGGATATGTGGAGGAAATTGATGGTTGAACCACTTCAGGCCATCCTTATCCGAATGCTGCTTCGAGAAATCAAAAAGTAAGTGCTGACATTTGTCTTGCTGAGTCAATTTTATTTTGTTGTTTGATACGGTTTTAAAGTAGTGTACGGCGGCATAGCTGGTGACCGGCCTTGGGGCTGGTTTTACAGTAATGAACCTTATTTTACTTCTAAATGCCAGCATTTTTAAGCTGTTTTCTTTTCTTCTTCTTCTTCTTTTGTTTTTTTTTGTTGTTGTTGGGGGAGCTCTGGTTTTTTCTTATACTCTAATATGCTTAGTAAATAAATAAGTACCTTAGAGAAGCGACTCATTGCTTTTCAGAGCTGAAACTCTTAGACTTTCTAGGCAGTGCCCTGCGTTGCTTGTATATATTATTTGTTCAAATCCCAGTGAGGACTACCTATTCAAGAAAACAGATTCTTCTAGTTAGTTACCTCTTAGCCTCAGTGTTATAATCAATAATGTGGATAATTTTATGAGATAGGTTTGTGGGAAAACGGGTTCCCTCTCTCCCGGTGGCTCACAGTGCTTGATGCTTTTACCCTAGTGCTGTGTGAATACAATTTGGTACCAAGAACACTTTCCTGCAGAGTCCGCAATAGAATGTCCTTGGATCAGCTCTGGCTCAAAGACTCTCCAAAACGCTCTGTTAGTCACACAAATATACATCTAATTAATTCCAGGTTACTGGAAGTGATGTTATAGGAATTATCTAGACCAATGAATTGTGGTGTAATAATGGCCACTCCACCTACATCTGTGTTCTTCAAGAAGACCCAAAGATGGACTTTTTAAATATGAGGAATAATTTGTCAAAGCCATGGCACTTAGCATGAGACTCCTGGTAGGAAGTAAGAGATTAAACATACACGCCCACCCCCATGCCTCGCATAAGAGGATAAGAGGATATTTTTACATTTTTAATGCCAAATAGAAAGTAGGTGGTAGCAACTAGTAACTTGATTTTTAAAAATTGTCAGTGACGGTTTTAATGATTCCATTGTTTTCAGAGAGAGAGAGCTGGAGGGGAAAGGCAATAGTGAAGCAGTTGGGTGTAACCATTGTTTTTCTTCCTCTTTTCTTTACAAAACTATAAACTAAAAAAACACTCCCAACAAAACTTTTAAGTTCTAATATCATTTCTTCTGCTAAAATATACTCTTTTTTTTTACTTGGAATTCAAGTGTTTTACTTTAAAAGTATAGTGACAACATTGTTACACTTTCTAAATGTACTTTGGTGAAATATCTTTTCAAATATAGTTTTGTCTCAACCTAGTAAATATTTTTAAGTGTGATCGTTAGTTTGCTAAAAATGAATGTGATGAAAAATGAAAGATACTGTGTAAGAAAAATAATACAACTATAGGATATTAATTCTGGAAAAGATAGATTATCTGGTGTGCTTGTCTTATTTTGTTGTTAATCATCAGCTTCCATTAAAGCATTGTTTCATGTGCTTTACTAAGATCTCACTTATTCTTCATGACAGCTCTCTCAGGTAGAGTTTTGCATGTTACAGTTAAGGAAACTAAGGCATATTAATAATAACAGAAGTTAAACACGGGAACTACATACTAAAAAGATGCATGCTAAAAATTTTGCCTGCATCTTCCCATTTAATCCTCACAACACTAGAAGGCTGATACCATTACTGTCACCATTTTACTTCCTTGACATCTTGACATGCAAAAGTCAGTGGCAGTGGTCTGACTCAGATCATTTCACCCCAGCCTCCATCTAGTAATAATTCTAGGGATTCACATCTGGACTAATCTGACTCTGAATTCATTATGCCTGTCCTTTTTTTTTTGAGACCGAGTCTTGCTCTGTCTCACAGGCTGGAATGCAGTGGCACGATCTCAGCTCACTGCAGCTTCCGCCTTTCGGGTTCAAGCGATTCTCCTGCCTCAGCCTCTTGAGTAGCTGAGTGCCACCATGCTTTGCTAACTTTTGTATTTTTGGTAGAGACCAGGTTTCACCATGTTGGCAAGATTGGTCTCGAACTCCTACCTCAAGTGATCCGCCTTCTTCAGCCTCCAAAAGTGTTGGGATTACAGGCGTGAGCCACCATGCCCAGCCTTATCCCCTTTTTTTTTGAGACGGAGTCTTGCTGTGTTGCCCAGGATGGAGTGCAGTGGCGGAATCTTGGCATACCACAACGTCTGCCTCCCGGGTTCAATCAATTCTCCTGCGTCAGCCTCCCAAGTAGCTGGGAATACAGGCTTGCAACACCACACCCGGTTTATTTTTGTATTTTTAGTAGAGATGGGTTTCACCATGTTGGCCAGGTGATCCACCCACCTCAGCCTCCCAAAGTATTGGGATTACAGGATTGAGCCATTGTGCCTGGACATATTTTATTATTTCTAATAATTCGTGCTTGCTTTTGGATTTTCTGTGTAAGCTATTGTAAGTTGAAAGTTTTGTTTCCTGCCCGTGTGTGTGTTTGTGTGTGTGTGTCTGTGTGTGTGTGTATTTGCATATTTGTTATCCTTAGCTTTACTGCGTTGGCTAGGACCTCCAAAGAGAGGCGATGGATAATGAGGATCTTTGTCTCATTTCTGACTTTAAAGACTGTGTACCTAACATTTCCTCATTTAATATAATGCTTCCTCTAGTCTTTTAATACTCATGATCAGAATAATGAGATTAGCAGGAATTGGTGATGAATTTGATAAAAATGATGTTTCTTCTTCTATTGAGTGAAGTATATGGTTGTTGCTTTTTTTTTTTTTTTTTT